AACAAGTGGCCTGTAATCATACTCTAACCCAGGGGTTCCCAAACTTTTCAGCTCACGACCCCCAAAATAACCGTGCCAGTGACTCGTGACCCCCACTATCCTCGGAAGTGGTTAAAATATACAAATGTTGCGCGCAACGGTGCACATGCGCCAATAGGCCTATCCAAACATGAGCATGACAACACAAAAGAACACAATGGTCTAACAACAATATAATTTTTTTTATAGTAATTTACTCATTTGTTTAATTTCAACAAAATATCCTATCCAAACAAGAGCATGACAACACAAAAGAACACAACGCTCTAACAACCATATAACTTTTTTAAAATAATAAACCCTTCCTACTTGACATTGTCCGGCCCACTCGACATTGCCCCTCCCACTCGACACATGGCTCTCAGCTGCAGCGATATACAGTATACAGTGGTTCCTCGGTTCTCAAACTCACTAGAACTCGAATTTCTTGAAAGTCGAACAAACAAGTTTGACCTAGAACTCGATCTGAATATCAGAAGTGGAACCATGAACGCTGACCTAATATAAATTGTACGTGCCAGGAAATGAGTCATACTACAATGCAATTCTTACTTGAATGCCTTCTTCACAGACTGGACAATTAACCAAATAAAGCAGCGCAACATTACAGTAACTAAACCAGAATAGCGAGCAGCGATCTCAAATCCGCGAAATCTGCACGGAAACGGATGTTTACCAATTTAAGGTAGTTAACTATTGACTTCCACTCGTACATTTCTGTTATTCAACATGATATTCAACATTTTTTTATAAATTTGAATTTGTGTTAATGATTTAGCCCAACTGTAGGCTAATGTATGTGTTCTAAAAGCATTTTTAAGGTAGGTTATAGGCTAGGCTATAATGTATGTTAGGTTAGGGGCACTGTATTAGAATGCATTTTCATCTTACGATATTTTAGCCTTACAATAGGTTTTGTCAGAACGTAACCCCATCATAACCCGGGGAGAGGTTATATTAATATCTCGTATGACATTGCATATTATACACAGGTACATGTTATACTCACTGCACAATAAATCACCTATTGTCTCTAAGACCTGTTGCAGATGTAACTTCAGGTTTACTTCCATGATCATTACTCCATCTCCTACACATAAAAATAGATCATTATCAGTTTGATATATAAGGGTCCCCTTATCATTTACAGCGCACGTTAATCACAAGGGCCCCTGACATAGAGAGCATAAGCTGAGGGCCCCCAGGGCCTTTTCCTTGCAGTGAGAATTAATTACCAGGGCTCCCATGCTCTCCGACATATACTGTACGTTGTGAACTGACCACCTAGAGCACTTGGCACATAATGCTATGCTCCTTGGTGCGTGCAGTGCAAGCTTAAGACAAGTGCACTTCAGAAATTAAGTTGTGAGCTGAGGACCCCTGGGTCCTCTGCATGGACTGTGGCACAAGCTGAACATCAGGGTCAAGCTTAATATCAAGGACAAGACATGACAATTTAGGATAGCAGGGGACTATGCTGCTTATATCACGTCTACTACTACTCTACTACATGTGGTAATTCAAAAGCTCACATTGTTTTCACGTTTGTGTCCAAGACAAATTTTTTTCATCTCCTTCTGTCACATAGAGTACACCCTCACTAGGCGATCCATACCGTGCCCAAACACCCCGAAAATCAAGTTTGTTTGACTTCTGTGATCGCTCCCTGCAGTGCCCCAGGCACCGTATGCTGAATAGTGGCCAGGTCCACTTGATGAGATGGGCCAGGTCACGATTCAGTTATACTCATGCACAGTATGCATCTAGTGTGATCACTAACCATGCCCAACCACGGAACGTAAACATGACATCTATAATGCAACTGACACATGCATGTGCACGTTCACTATACAAGGACCCGACCCAGAAAAAATGGATCGGGTAAATTCTGATTTTTGCTAGTGATAATCTGATTGTTTTATTTCTTATTCTTTAGTCATTATTTGTTATTTTTTTGTTGTTTTTTAATGTGCACTGATGTTTTTTTGCTGCTATAACACCCGAATTTCCCCATTGGGGATCAATAATGTGTTATGTCGTATATATCCTGTGAAGTCATTTTCACATTTTAATTAAATATTATATATAGTAATTATAGAATGGTGTGTGAGTGTGCCCTGCGATGGATTGGCGCCCCATGCTGGGTTGTTCCCTGCCCTGCACCCATCACCCATAGCCTCTGGGATTGGCTTCTCACCCCCTGCAACCCTGAATAGGGCAAGCAGTTTCAGAAAATGGATGGATAGATGGATGGATATAATAATTATTATAACAATTGAATAGTTATTACTATCATTACTATTATACTTCTAGAGTAGCTGTGGTCTCACAAATGCGTTGTCTAAATATGACTTGCAGTCCAAATTGGGCAGCAACAGTTCTCACGTGAAGTAAACAAATCACTGTCACATACTCAATAAATGTATATGTGGGCCATGTGTCATCACATCCAAAATGACTCCAAATAAGCCCAAAATATGGACATTAATCTTGCTTCATTGTGCTGTGCGATAGCGCTTTTCTCCCATGTTTTCTTCAACATAAAAACTTGCACGGTTATGACACAAGCATGCTTGGCCCTTAATGTTATGCGCCGCGTAAGAGCAGACCAGTGGCAAAGTGTCGGCCCTGTGTCATGGTCTCGCATATATTAAACAGTAAGCTAATATTTGGTACTTGTAGTTAACATGTTGAATATTGAAAGATTGGCCAGAAGTAAAGACTTGGGGGAGATCAGGCCAAATTTGTTAAGATTTGATGGGTCAGAGCATTTTTGAAACAGTAAGACTTATGGAATGTTTATAGTCATCCATGGTGAGCACCTACTGAGAGTGGTTTGAGGACGGAAAACAACATCATCTGCTATCAGGGTGTTAGGCTACCCCATCTCATACAAACCAACAGATGGGCTACTGTGGCACAAATGGCAGATAATTTTGATGATGGTCACGGAAGTAACGTGTCATGACACATAGTCCATCTCACCCTGCTGCGTCTGAAGCCACATAACCAGTCATAGGGCACGTGCTAGCCCCTACCCACTGTCAAAAGCCCCTACAATGGGCGTGCAACCAGTGGGACTTCACCTCAGAACAATGGAAGAAGGTCAATTAGGCTAATAAATGTGATTTCCTGCTGCATCATGTGGATAGCAAGATACATGTCATGCATCTGTGGGATGCATTGGACTGACATCTCTGATCCATGGCTACATGGCTGCATACACAGCAGGACTCTTTGCACTGTGTCATGACCCATGACTCCCATGACTATAACCCTCCTGTTGCTTTATTCCAGACAGGATAACCTTCATTCACATCTTGCATTGACAAGTCTTGGTCACCCAACATCCTGTCAGCAGATCATGGATTTTCCATCCATAGACCGCAGACTCACCACAGCTGACTCTGAGCTTTTCACAAGCCTTGCAGTTTTGGAGATGCTTTGACCTACTTATCTATTCCTAACAGTCTGACTCTTAGCAAAGTCACTCATGTCTTCACCTCTGCCCATTTCTTCTACATTCAACATGTCAACTAAGAGCACCAAATGTTGGCAAACCATGTAGTATATCCCAGGCCGAAACATGCACCTTTTTAAAAAAAGAAAAATCACATTGTATAGGGGTGGTCTTAATGTTTTGGCTCATCTTTTGTTATGGATTTCTACTACAAGTACTTTTGTTGTTGCTAATCTGGATGCAATATTTAATTATCTCCATTCCCCAAACACTTTATCGCAGCACGTGTGCCTAAACAAAGCCATGGTTACCAGCTGTGCTTGGCTGAGGATTTTAGCCATACAAAAAAACAACAGACTGTTTTTTTAGACTTGGAATATTTTTCTTTTCACCTAACTAAATAATGTAATGTTCTGTGTAGAAGCACAGAACGATGTGCGCTTTTGCAGTAAGTGCTAAATTCCTTTCAGACTCATTTCAAAACTGTGAACATAAGAGAATTCATGGCATTGCTCATTTAAAAAATAAATATTAAGTGATTTTTTTCATTATATACGAACTCTTGGTTGTTGCCAGTAATAAAAAAAGAATGATTTATTGAGCGCACATAATTTTGTACATGATTGTCTTTTTCTACAAGTATGAGGAAAAAATGACCTTTTGAGATTACAAAGGCTGTCAGAAAAATTAAATGATTTCCATTTGGCAGTAATGAGAACACAGGAAAATGTGTCTCGCTTTGAATAATTACATTTTTTTACACTTATAAGGAGAGAAATAATAAAAGTCATCTTCCCCTTTATATCGAGTCTGCTATCTTGAGTATATGTATTTTTCCAAGCGAATAAGTTACATCCCTGTACAATACAAACTGAATGATGAATGTCAGCCATTTTAATGTAAATACACAGAACCTCAATGCTTAGTAAAGATACTGACATATTGTAAATGTTCCACATTTCAGGGGAAGGTTACAAACTGGGCTTTTCTAGTGTTAGAAGAATGGTCTGGGGATTGATTAATGAACCATCCTGTATATCATGTACTGCCTTGGAAACATGGACATTTCTGATAGTGAATTACAGTATCCACAGTGTATGATTATGTATGTTTATGTGCCCCAACCTTATGCTTTATTCTGCCTGGGGTCCCCCCTGTGACCCTACCAGGTAGAGGATGGATGGAATTTATCTATCTGTTCATTATTGATATCTAACCCATTCGTCTTAGATGGTTGTCATAATGGGGCCAGTGTGTAATTTATCTTGTTTGATAATTAATTTGAATCTATTCATTAGCCTACAATGTTTTTTTTTTTTTTTTTGTAATTCTAGAAAGGAACTTAATATTTTAATGTTCACACACCCAGTCCATTGGGACCTTTAGCAATATCATTGACATCAGAATATTCGTTCCCTGGTATCTACTATTCGTCTATCCCTGCATCAATAGCCTGCTTTACCAACGGCGCATTCAAAGGGCTTGTAGCGTCCTGTGACCATGGAAACAGGCCGCGCGGCCCCGGGTGGGGAGGCGAGCCTTTGCATTTTCTAACGTTTACCAGCCGATTTTTCCCCCGTCAGCAGGTAAACCCGTTTTCCAAATAGTGAACCTTACTTGACACGCTTATAACAATTAATAAAACGCCTATAAAAGGCTCAGCGTCATGACATATTAGTGGTTTGTTCGGGATCATGTTACCATGTACGGCATTATTTAGCTGTTTGCTATAGGCCTGGTTGTCAGGCTTTTGGTTACTGCAGCTTTGTGTGGCAGTAATGTTGCTGGCAATACTTTTTATAAGACTTGACTTGTTTTCTGTTTATTTTCTTTACAGGGTGGACAAAAGTGTTGAAACACAGTATTATGTAAACGATAAGTGCAGGTATGTAACAGAAGTTATTAGTTAACATACAGAGTGAATTTTCTGTTAATTAATTATACTTTATTAAAACATACACGGATATTTTGACGGTATGAAATTTGTAATGTAAATGCGTCGGACTCTTTCTTTAGCCGCTTACCTGATATTAAAAAGTGAAAAGTCAAAATAAGGAATGTTCAAAAACGAATATCAGGTAAGTCTGAATGTTTTAATAATAATAATAATAATAATAATAAAATTATGAGTATTTATTTATTTATTTTTAAAAAGAAGAGGTCTTTGCAACCTGCCTCTTTATCGTTTTAGCATTTCAAAAAAATATATACGTAATGTTTCATAAGACTGGTCTACAGAATCATTTAGATATGTATGTTGTGTATGATTTTGTACCGTTTTGCTTCGCAGGGCGGTGCGGTTGTCGACATCTTCAGTGCTCAGGGAAAAGATCCCGTGGCCAAATGGAAACTTCATGGAGGGCAGTCAGCGATAAGCAAAGTGAGGTTTTATTTTAGCATACATTAATTATATTCGTCGTATGACTTCATAAAATAGACTAGGATCGAGACTAGCTTGGTTAAATAGCTCACGCCTACCTGACCCCAGATGCACGTCAGGCAAATTTTCTCATAGTTACATAGTATGAGAGCGTATAAGAGATAATTAAAGGGAAATGTATGTTTTGATGGTGAATATGAGTTCATATAGAAAGTATTTTAATTAAGTGAGAGTTGCTGCCTTTGGTGTATAAGAGCAGATTTTGATTTGCTTGTTTGATGTATATTGTCACTTTAACTTAAGATGTGTTGTGTAACAATATACCCAATTGTTGTTATTCAGTAAATGGGGAAACATTTTAGGCTTAACAGTGTTTTATATAAACTATTTGATTAAGTGATGTATACATTTGTTAAGATCAATGAAAGGCAAACATGAAGAAAAGATAGTCCTATATAATTTTGTGTTCTTGTAAATGCTGTCTATGCTGTTTTGTGCATATTTAAAGGTTTTGCTTGTCCTCTCTTGTAAAATATCAGTTTTTCTCCTTATGACCTCAGCCCTGATCATGATAGTATTATGATGCTGCTTTTTTGTGCTTCAGTACCTCCATTTGTTTAGAAAAGTGATATAAAGCTAGACTAGGAAGATAGAGAGAGTATAGACCAGGGCTGTACATCGGGGATGATTAGTGCAGTGCAAGAAGTGGGAACAGTTTACAAGCACTGTGTATATACTGTATATGGAGAGCACCACAGGGGTTAGGTGGGTAGCAATGTTGCCTCATACCTCCAGGTGGGGGTGAATCCTGCCCCTACTGCAAGGGTGTGGAGTTTGCATGCTGTCTCTGTGCTGCATGGACATCTTCCATCTTCCATGGACATGCAGGCTGGCTGGCTGCCGTCTCTAAATTACCCCTAGTATGTTTATCTTGTAGTCCTGTATAGTGTGTTACTCAACCTTTTGTGAAATGGACTGTCCTCCCTGGTATTCGCTGACAGGAAACGTCAGATAGCCATCAGTCTTAACACAATGCACAGGTTGGGAAATGTCTACTGCAATCCAGAATCGTGCATTTTTTCCCCACAAGTTTCAATGGAGGCATGTTCAGTTCATTGGGCCCAAAGAATGATCCGAAGTGAATCAGTTCACTGGAAAGATGGTTTGCTTTGTCAGTTATTTCTCTGGATGCTGAAAAACATTGTAGGTTTGGGAGTGGAAATTTGCGCTGATTCTCTGGGTATGAATTTCCTGCCAGGCTGAATTCACAGAGGGTGAATAAGAAGTAGGTGAGATATAATAAATATATTTCTGTTCACAGCAACCCATTAACTCTTCTAACACTTGAATATTATATCCTAAATTAAGAATTGATTCTTTTAGGTTATTTGGTTTTTACAGACACATTCTGGCACTAGCCCATCTTCAATGCTGTAAAATGCTAGAGATAGCTTAGTGCTGAAATGTATCCATCATTCGACATACTACAAATAAATCAATAAGAGAGTACACACTTGAGAGTTTGTTTTTTCTGTATTATGTATACTGTATACTATATTATAAGTCTTTATTTAACTCGCACCCAAAGATCCAGATGAAATGAAGCTGACTGATTGCTGTCCTGTAGCTGACTGGTATTCACTGCCTCCCCTATTGAAGACAAATCAGAAAGCCTGTAACACAAAGCTGTTTTCATGCAACGTTTCTGTACGTTATTTATAATTCAGTTATAATGTTGCTTTGTCACTGACCCAACATGCCCATACTTGCTATATTTTCTGGTAAGCTGAGCAGAACCTGCCCGACCCACGGGGTCAACCCATGCATCACTAAAACCCATATCTTCTGACGTCCAACTTCATGATGACCCTGGTACATGGACGCAGTCTACTTTACAGTAGTAAATTCCCCATTGCATCATTTAACAATTTATGTAAATATGAAATATGTTAACATGTACCTGAGGTGTGTCTTTAATTTGTGAAAAATAAAAATTCACCAAGTCATACCCATATGAATGAATGAATGTTACATTTATGTAGCACTTTTCAAGACACCCAAATCAGAATCAATGTGGAGCAACTTCAACCACCACTGTGTAGCCCCCACCTGGATGATGCAGCAGCAGCTATTCTGCACCAGTACGCTCACCAGACAGTAGCAAAGGTGGTGAAGGGGCAGGAGAGAATGTACCAATTAGATCAAGATTCTTTAATTGTCACATACATAGTTATACAAAGTACAATACGCAGTGAAATGCATCCAGAACCGCTCTTTTGTAGACTGTGCAAGTTAAAATCCAATTATGCTAAGGTTAAAGTGCAAGATACTGGGGATGATTAGGAGGTCAGATTTTATAGGGCCACAGTGGGTAATTTTAGCCAGGACATTGGGGTACCAGCCCTGCTCTTTTGAAAACTACCCAGGGATGTTTTATGACCTCAGACAGTCAGCACCTCAGTTTTATATCTCATCCAAAGGACGGCACCATTTGTGCAGCACAGTGTCCCCATCACTGCACTGGGGCACTGGGATCCACACAGACCACTAGGTGGGCTAACTTCAAAAATTTAAAGAGGCTCTTCACTTTAATTATTTAGTTGCTTCACTGACAATTAGCCAAGCTCACTTTTAAGTATTTTCAGTGGAATCTTTTTTGGAGAAATTTAGGTGAAGTACCCTGTGAAGAACAGTTGATCCTCTGAGATAACCTTTGTGTTACAGATCTGTGATCTTTCCACTATGTTATTTGTTGGCCTATGCAATTTATCCGCAACTATCATTTTCAAAGATGTTGTCATGAATAACTACATGTGCAGCTGAGTGCCAGGAAATGCAGTTCATATTTGAAATATTTAGCACTTATTTGAAACCTAGGCAGCGCTTTTAATTTCTGTTCATTATTATACATGCAAGACAATTGCATGTATAATTGCTATATTTCCACTGAAATGAAAGATATTTATAATCAAAAAAGGGTTATTATAACACTGGAACAGACAATGTAGAATGGTTTGGGTAAAGCTGTTTTTGAAGTGGTTCTGTTGGTGTTATTATTGTTAAGATAAAATAGATCTATTTATCCATCTGGTCCGGCACCTATCCAAGGCAGCATAGGGCAAAGGCTGGGCTGCACACTGGACTTGATGCCAGTTCATCATAAGGCACATGCGCACACGCAGTCTTACACTGTGGGCAATTTAGAGATTCCAGTCATCCTAAATGCATGTCTTTAGACATGGACAGAATATGTACATACTACACATACTGATTTGAACCCCCAAAGCTGCAGTTCAGAGTAACTGTGCTACCCATATACTATGTGATAGAATTATTTACAGGAAATATGTATTTAACATATAAGCGTAATTAATATTCTACATGCGATATACTGTAGTCCAGGGGTCTCCAACTCCGGTCCTGGAGAGCTACTACCCAGTCGGTTTTCAATCCTACCTGGCTTCTGATGAGCCACACCTGTTCTCAGGTAAATACCAGGAGCAGGTGTGGCTCATCAGAAGCCGGGTAGGATAGAAAACTTACTGGATAGTAGCTCTCCAGGACCGGAGTTGGAGAGCCCTGCTGTAGTCTATTTATGGTGTACCTAATATATTTTTTAAATATATTGTAAGTGCTAAGTTTGAATGACCGTTCCAAATTTAAATGAAAATGAATAATTTTATGATGCTTTGTATTATAAATAGTGCTGAATTTAAAAGGTACAATATATTAATAAAGATGTTTAAGGCATTGTTTTGTACAGGCATTGCCTAGGAATATATGTATGTGTATTTTTTGTATTAATACATGTATTTTCTCTGTTATCTTCAGGTTTTTGACAAAGAGATGAAAGGCTTTGTTTATATTCTGGAAGGCAGCAGCCAAGCAAACAAAATGCAGATGCCGAAGGATAACAAAATAATGCGTAAGTTTTGAAATTCCCTTCAAGCAGTTTTCAAGGCAGTTCTAAATGGTGTGTTGTTAGGGTCACTTAGAAATGTCCTTATTTTTGAAAGAAAAGTAAGTGTTTGTTCTTTAAAATGACATGAAATTGATCAGAAATACAGGGTAGACATTGACCATGTTGTAAATGAGTGTCATAGCTGGGTGTTTATTAATGGAATATCTACATAGAGTAAGTGGATTTGTTGAGTTCCTTGATGGCAACGGGAGAGAATGTTCAGCAGAATGTGTCGCAACTTGTTGAGCTTCCTGAGATATCATAGGAAAAACAGTCTCTGCTGATCTTAGCTGATGCTGTATTCATCCATTTCAAGATATTGATAATGGTGGTCCCTTGGAATTTGAATGACGTGATGACAGAAATGGCCTATGGGATCGGTGTCTGGTTGTCTGTGGAAGTCAAGCAACATTTGCACTGTTTTGACAGCATTGAGTCACACAATGTTTGGAGCACACCACATTGCACGATGGTTCACCTCTCCGGTTTCATCATTAAATGAGCTCACTGTCAGTATGGTTGTCGTCCCTAAGGGATTTGGTAGATTTGTTTGTGAAGGTACAGTTTTTTGTGTAGAGTGGGAATATGTGGGCTGAGGAATCACAGCTGTGGAGTACATTTAGCTGGGTTAGCTTACTGTGGAGCAAATCTGGAACAATTCAGTTCATAGTCCATAAAAAGACCCTGAAATAGGTGTTGGGAGTCAAACATAATGGAGTGAAGTGGAGGGTTAGTAATGGACCAATGGTGAACCAGCATAAAACATTCTGCCTAAAAATTTGATGATAATTTTGTACAGGCACTCTAAAATGCTCTAAACTGGGTGTGTATACTTTTTTAGACATTTATCTGCTCATATGTGTGCTATGAACATGGGTTAGCTGTGCAAGAAGTGGAAAAAAACATAGGGCTTTAGGGGCTTGGCAAAGTGATTTTAGATAAAAAAAAATGAATGAATTGATTTTTAAATATAAAAAGACAAGGCATGTAGTCAAGTTATCTAAGGTAAAAAAATGAGATGAAGGATCATTAAAGACATGTATATGCTGTTTATTTCAGTGGGGCTTAGCCAGAGGTTCCTTGTCCTTCAAGTGTACCTACCCCTGGGAAAAGACTTCTCCACTGAACTCATGTAAGAACCTCCATAGCAAAGCACGGATTTTTACACACAATCACAGCAGGTACTCCATTATAGAATGAAGCTAAGAAGTGCTTAATGAGAAATCTAGGTTACGCAGTTTTCTAGGAGTTAAATCATTAATTTTTCTCATGCCTATGTGAACTGATGAGTAATGTAGTGCTACCTTAAATTTATCATTGCATACTTATACAGTGCTTGCACTATGAAAAAAACACTCATTTATTGATTAATTAAAAGGCCAGGTATCTAATACATGCTTGATGAGTAATACCCTTATTGTTTCGTTGTTGATGTTTAATAAGACAAGCAGGAAGAGTTATGTAAATCATCTAAAATACAGAAGTTCCAAATCTGTAACCTTTAAGATAAGCATTTAAATATATAAAATGTTCGCAACTTTATAGCAGTAACGTGAAATTATTTCAGGCAGATATTTTATACAATACTGAAATATCCTGGGTGGTATGGTCTGGGTAAATCTGAGTAAAGTTTGAGGTGGTTCTGTCTGTCCTGTCAGATGATTGCTAATGTATAAGTTATCAGTGACTGATGACTGCTCAAAAACGCAGTGGTGAGTGGTCTAGATTAAGCCCCACAGAGTCTGCTGTATTACCAAAACAAACCAAATAAAAAAAAATTCAAGGATGGGGAAAGGAGTGGTGGAATCCTGAGGCAGCAGGAGAAGTTGAGGATCTCAGTCCATGCCAGATTCTTCTACACTAGGCAATTTGAACAGGATTTTAAGGAGGAAAAGCATCTGTACTGGGGAGATAAAAGTGAAGAAAAAACAAATAAAACAGAGATTATTAAAAAAAAAAAAGCACAAACTTTTTGAATCACTGTAGGATAGCACAACAATTATTGCCGGTTAGTCATGCTTCAAGCATTGTCCCAGACATGGTAAAGGTAGTTATTGTATAGAAGAAGACAGGAATCACGGGATTGTGGTGGCAGCAGATATAATCTGCTTCCAGGCACCCCGTTCTGGATGCTGGTCAATGCACATGGTCTCCTGTCCACCATTCATTTGTAGGTAATTTGATTTTTTTTCATGTTTATAAGTACACTTACTAGCAATATTCCATGTATCTACTTATATTATTATTAATGGTGAACAAAAACTTTTTTATACGTCTTTTATGTGGCCCATCATTCAGACCATAGACTTGGTTTTGCATTAGAAATCAGATTAAGTTCCCTGCTCAATTTAAGTAAGGCATACTACATATTACCTCAGCATGCTTGAACAGGCAACCTTCCCTTATGTGTTCATGTCCATAACGATAAGCTATGATGCAAAATTAGACTTTTTCATTCAAATCGGATGTACAAAAAATTGAATGTAGTCTTCCTAATGATCATCAACCTAAACCCTAACGAGCTGAGATATATTAGCATGATCAGTGCTTGTCCATGCAGTCATTTTTAAATTAGAACCATAAAGGGATCCTCTCTTAGTGACAAAAGAGTACAAAAGTAGTCACAAAGTTAGACACATTTAAAACATGTATTATAAATAAGCAACATTTTAGTCAAGATTCTGTTTTGCATGTCCCCAAAAGCTTCAGTTGTGCATTTTCATGTAGGCCCTTAATTGGTCTTTCTTCAGTATTAATTTATTCATATCCATACACTGGCAGAGCATGTTAATCCTTTGTATCCTGGTGCTACTTCAACTGAAAATGTGAAGACAGTTTTAACAAAGGATCCCTAAAGAGAAAAACTGAAAAGATAAATGCACCTGTCAAAAGTAATCTGTTATTTTAGTGATTGGGTACCGCTGCAATTTATTGTGTGCTTCTGTAGTAAATTTGTGCAATGCTGTTATGCCAGTGAAATTGCTGCATTAAGTTAACAATAGTGATAACAATGATTAATATATTAATGGGTAAAGGAAACCATATTATCGATACAAAATTGCAAGGATGGGATCAAAGTAAGATATTCATATAATGTAGTTGTATACAAAATTATTTTTCTGTTTCAACAAAAAGACAAGTGCATGCACATCTATGACATTATGTTGTCATTTTATTGCAGCTCGTCTCTCTGAGTTCTACTCATTTCTCCTAGTTGTGGAATTAGTAAACAGCATGCAACATTATTTTGGTCAGATTGTTGGCATGTAATTATGCAAAGAACAACGCTTGTCATCCACAAATATTTCAGTTCTTGTCAAGCATTGGTCATGCTAAATCATATGATCTTTCTTAATTAATTGATAATTGCAGCAGGAAGTGCTTTGGAATCAGCAGCTGAGGATACCAAATTATTTTGTGTTTGGTAGGTGCATTTGGTAGGTGCTTTAAAAGTTGGATCACAGTTTTTCTGTGCAATGAATCTGACAATTATTTATTTTATTTTTTTATCTCTGCTGACTATAATTATCTATACCGAACCATATTATACCAATTAGTTAAATAAGTGATAGCATACTAATCACAGATGGAAATTTCTGATTAGTGCAAGGCATGTTTTTGGAAAGTGGAATGACATGATAATACTGTCATGTATCTGACAGGGATTAGACTTATTACATATCTGTCACTTGGATTTTTTCTTTTCTTTTCGATTTTAGTAGCTGCCAGCTACTGCGTGTTGTAACATAAAAGTAAGGGATTTTGGACCAATTTAATTATTTCAGCCCTTTGCCATCTTGTGGAACAACCTTGCTGGTGGATGAAGAATTATATGAGCATGTAAAGCAAATTCTCCTGCTGCCTGTCTCCATCTTAATGTTTAGGGGGAATTTTTTACTGCTGATTTTATCTAGAAAAGTACATTTTGTGGTTTTGCCATTGAAAAGGGTGAAGTATTGTATGTACTCAATCTGTGGCAATTCACTTTTACTTTTACCCATCCGATGCTTTGCAGAGTTACAGATTTAGAAAGTCTTAAAAGAAGATTGTATCTCTCCACCGTTCATAAGGAATTCACTGCAACCCCGCTGCATGCTAGAATACCTCTCTCCAGTCTCAAGCGTAGCATTGTGAGTATTACTTTGAAAAATTCATTTTCTTACATTTTCCTATCAATTTATGAAGTATACACAGAATGGATAAGGTACAAATAAAGTAAGCATATATTCTAGAAAGATTATAAAAAGTTTAGTCTAATCATTTGGTAGGGAAGTTTTCCTAGCTAGGCAAGTTTGAATCAGGGTTGCCAACTTTGATTTTCAATTTGAGACAAGTCATTGACATGTATGTAACAGTTTTATTATTTTGTAAATAGTTTGCAGGGTTTGCAAACTACCACAGTGCTTTTGATGTAGCTAGTTTTAGGTTTATAATGGAATAATATAGATTTGCCGTACGATTTCTTGCGTGAACGTTAGAGTCTGAAAGCGTGAGTGTCATGCCAGATGCATGTGTCTTGGCAATCCTGTTTGAATTGAGCCTTGAGCTAGCTTTCAGGATGGGAACAAAGTAATATATTCATATAATGTAATACAGCTTGAAATGTGTTTATATTGTAAAAACATTTCTAACTATTTCATTCAAATGAGGAGCAACAGTGATTCATTTAGTGAATCCTTCTATAGCAACGATATTGTCTGTTGTACTTAATTTTATCCAAAATAGCTATGCATGGGCTAGCAGTTGTTTTTTTTTTTAATTGTGGAAATCCAACCTATATCTTTTGTCACTGCTCTGTGTTTAAGAAATTAATTATTGCATATCGTGTGGCAAGCTAGCAATGTCACTTTACAGCTCCAAGGTTGAGATTTTGAATCCCACCCTCACTATTTGCTCCGTGTTTACACATCCCTCACGTTTGGCTGATTTTCTCTGGGTACTCCTGCAGTCTAGAGACATGGTTAGCTAAATTAGCAACTCTAAATTCCATGTTTGATTGTGTATTAGTGTGCCTACTGCAATGATCTACTGTTTGCTGCCCTTTCTTTCCAGAGTCTCTGTGATCCTGTACTGAACAAGTGATTGGAATATGGATGGTTGGATGGAAGGAAGGAAATACTAAGTTATTGTATTACATAGTTTATAAGACTTAATTAAGATACAAATACAGATACATTCCATAATAAACATAACGTGTTAGTGTGTTTATAAGCTCACCAGAGGCCCCTGAATAACATTTTGATTGAGGTGGCCTTCAGGGACCAGTTATACTTTTGGTGTTAGCCATGCCGCACCGTGTCTCTTCTATGGTTCTGCTTAGAAAATGTGTAATTTTTATTATGGATAATAATCCATAAGGGGTGACCAAGTTTTTCCTACAATTACTGCACATTTACTACAATTACTACACCCCTTAGACGCTGTTGGGTATTTTATGTCCAGAAGCTACAAATTCCGACCAAGATTTTGTTCATACCAACCAGCTGAGGATGAAGTCACAGTCACAGAATACACAGCTGGTTGGTAGAAACAAAATCTTGGTCTGGATTTGCAGCTTCTGGACCTGAAATGCACAGCACAGCCGTTAGATCCAGCTCTGAAGCTCACATTCAGTAAAGACTGACACTATCTGGTATAGCAACTTTTCTGTTAACAAAAACACAAATTAATTTTTGGACTATTCCCCCTTCTGGCTCAGTGGCTGCGCATGTTTTTTTTGTCAAACACAGTGTTAGTTGGCGATCTATAGAAGTCAGTTAGTGCAGGACATTATTTTAAAAATAATGTACAGTTATTCTGTTTGGAAAATAGAATGGGACACCCTACATAATACATCAAAAGTTGCCAAACAAACTTATTTTAACAGTAGGCAATTTTAGCGTCTTACTTCTGTAGTTACTGTGCTTGATCACACTAGGCAAAAATCTGCGTAGTAAATATGACATAAGAACATGACATATGAAGTAAAATGGCTATAGAGATATTAACAATTTCAATATCCATGAATTTATGAAGCTGGTCACATTGGCTCTTCCTATCGTTAGATGTATAACGATAAACTCATCTGGGTCCTGACATTATTTTAAGCACGCATGCAAAGCCTACAAATGTGGTATCAACAGCAGTCCACAGCTTTACTCCCCTGAGTTAGTAATAGAAATGTATTATTAAAATTATATATTGGTTCATGGTGCTAAATTGACTTAATTATAACTTAATTATAAATTCTTATGAGGGTGTTTTCTACTTTGAATCTATCCACTACCTTACAGGGGACTCTGGCCCTTACCTCACTGGGGCTTTTAGCCCCTACCTCACCAGGGAATCTAGCTCCTACCTCAAAGAGGACTCTAGCCCAGGGGTGGCCAATCTTATCCGTAAAGGGCCGGTGTGTATGCTGGGTTTTCGCTGCAACTCCCTAATTAGATTACTAATTAGAGGACTGATTGGCTGAAAAGTCCTCACACCTGGGTTTGAACAGCTGACCTACAGGTTATCCCAAAAAGCTGCATACACACCGGCCCTTTGCGGATAAGATTGGCCACCCCTGCTCTAGCCCTTACCTCACAGGGGCTTCTAGCCCCTACCTCACCAGGGAATCTAGCCCCTACCTCAAAGTGGACTCTAGCCCTTACCTCACAGGGGNCTCTAGCCCTTACCTCACAGGGGCTTCTAGCCCCTACCTCACCAGGGAATCTAGCCCCTACCTCAAAGTGGACTCTAGCCCTTACCTCACAGGGGCTTCTAGCCCCTACCTCACCAGGGAATCTAGCTCCTACCTCAAAGAGGACTCTAGCCCTTACCTCACAGGGGCTTCTAGCCCCTACAGTACCTCACCAGGGAATCTAGCTCCTACCTCAATGAGGACTGTAGCCCTTACCTCACAGAGGGCTCTGGCCCCTACCTCACCAGGGAATCTAGCACCTACCTCACCAGGGAATCTAGCTCCTACCTCAATTAGGACTGTAGCCCTTACCTCACAGAGGGCTCTGGCCCCTACCTCACCTGGGAATCTAGCACCTACCTCACCAGGGAATCTAGCTCCTACCTCAATGAGGACTGTAGCCCTTACCTCACAGAGGGCTCTGGCCCCTATCTCACCAGGGAATCTAGCACCTACCTCACAAGTGACTCTACCCCCTACCTCACAGGGGCCTCTACAAAGTTGCTCTCCTGCAATGTTATAGTAAAACTAAATATTTTTTAAATTAAATTTTAATTGTAACTGGGTATTATTATTTTGCGGTTATGCAAAATTTAGTCATATAAGTGACGTCACTCAAGTTTATTTTGATTATTGTCTTTGCAAAGTGATGTAAGTATTCATCCATCATCTAAAAGCCTTATGAAATGAGCTTCGACCCTATCGCAGTAAGCACAGGACACAAGGCAGGGGAGCACCTTGGATGGGATGCTAGTCTACCACTGGGACTGACAGTCACACAATGGGCAATTTAGGGATGCCATTTTGGACTGTCAGAAGAAACTAAAAAACTTGAAGGAAACATACTTACATGGGAAGACCATTCAAACCTCACATACACAGAAGGTGGTTACAGAACTCCTCAACTCATAAGATATCCATATCAAAGTATCTTCATGGACTACACTGTATTCTGTCCATCTATCCATCCATTTTGGACTGAGAAAAGTTTATGATAATACAAATCTATGGGAAAATTTTAAGATCACAGAGCCCAATAAAAGCATTTGAAATTGCTCTCAATTGACTTTTATTTCTTATGATTTTCAGTGGAGCAATATGTGCATCGACCTCATGTCTTTAACGGGTGAGATATTCAAGGGTGCTTCATTCCTTTCACTGGATGGCATTACTGTGTCTGCCACTTGCCGACTCAGGAGAGTCTTTACAATGAAAGTGCAGCCAACGGATGCCTTCAGCCATGCCAGTATGTATTGTACATAATATTTAAATCTGTTTAAAGTGTAAAAAGTGTACATTTATTCTCCCTTTAGTCATTGTGTTTTTTAGACAGTTAGACAAAATAACCACAAAGTTATTTTGCTTTATCTATACCCATATAAAGAAAGCAATTTGATGAATACTGCAAGCAACAGGTGACGGTCACATTCCTACCTGCTTCATCTGTTCAACCCTCTTGTTTTCCCTCATGTGTGGCCTCCAGAAAGCCCCGCCCAGTGCTTGTTAGCCTTACCTCTCCTTCCAGCCCCCATATGTATCATTCCCATCTGTGTCTTGTTAGTCCCAATCGGTAATTGTATTTAAGTGCCTTGTAGTCAAGTAGTCCCTAGTTCCGTCATTGTTTAGCTGTACCCTGTTTTTTTTTTGTCTCTCTACCAGCTAAATAAAAGCCCCGTCTAGGGGTTTTGCCACATCAGCTGCATTCTGGGTTGTGCTTCTCCCCGCCAATGTGACAGTGACATTTGGGATGACCCTGCCAAACATAAATCTCAAGTTATCAGCACACGTAACACCACCATCAAAACTTGTTGGAAAATCTTTGATGCCCAACAGGGTTACTAAGTAATTTTCATGGTTAAGGAACATATTGTCACACTATAACAGCATTTGTATGGGGGTGTTTTGTGACAGTGTTCAATGAATAAGCATCTCATTTTAATTATTATTTAAATTATAATTTAAATTGTCATTTAAATGAGTATATATAAATATGCTATTAAAATTATTATTTAAATTGTTTTTTAAAAGGTTTATTTAAATTACTATTTAAATGATACCAACAACCATTAAAATGATCTGTCAAAGTCACCCAGTCACCCATCAAACTCAGTGGGTGGACTCTAAACAAAACCTAATATCTGATTGGTTGCAATAAGTCACAACAGATCGACTCACCTAGTCAATTTAATTCTTATTTATAACCACATTTTGTCTGTTCAGTCCTGGTGCTGTACTGTATGTCCTAACTTCCCGAAGTCTTAAATAAGTTCTCTTAACTTTAGGATAACAGTTAAGCTGTCCTCCCTTTCACTGGCCACCACATAGGGTTAGCTATAGATAAACATATTTTATTCATATGGTCTGGTAATTTTAATGGTGTCATTTAAATTTTAATTTAAACAATAATTTAAACAGCAGTTTAATTATATAGATGATAATTTAAATGACAATATAGAATTCTAATAATAACTTAAATGACATTTTCATGTATTGAATATTGTCACAAAATGCCCTCCATATATTTGAAGTTAAAACAATAATGCTAGAAATTTGTCCTTCTTCAATAACTTTTCAAGACATTGACCATGTTTTATTTATAGACATATATTTGGATTGAAATAAATCTCAGTGTAACTACTGTAATTTTGTGGTAGAGATTTCCATAAAATTAAAACTGATGCTTGCCCATATTTTTTCCCCAGTCAAAATGACAGCTGACATTTAGGTTATCCCATTAAGGGTTTCTAAAAATCTGTAAATGAGGGTACAAACCAGTAAATGGAAACCTACAGATTATGATCTACTCAAAGATTGCTGACATTCAGAGATGTCCTAATAATAATCATACAGTGGTCATAAAAATCCACCCCCTTTTGTCTTTTAAATTTTATTGTGCTTCAACTAGGAAACAAAAGACAGTTTCAGAAGAATTTTTCTAGGTGTATCATAGAATATAAAATGCTTATGCAAGTTTTTTTTCAGTTTAGAAAAAGGTTTAGTTTTCATTTTCATGTTACATAGTATTTTATGTTTATCAGGAGGAAGTAATCACAAAGCATGAAATTTTGATTTTAGCACAATAATATTTGTCCAAATCCAGTGACAGCTTTTTAATTCTTATTATAATTGGCTTTCAGTGAATATTAATGTTCCCTCTGTCTGTAAAACATGCTGCAAAGATGAATGATCTAGCTTGAAACATGTTATTTTCTATTAATATAGTTTTACTTATAAGTAAATCTAATATAACTGTCTGTTTTTTTCTTGAGTTATTTAAAAAAAAAATTTGTCCCACACAAAATATGCGTACAATATAAATAACATTTATTTACAAGAAAAGGTTTTGGTTTCTGAACACTGTGTTTTTTCATCCTCTAGCTCCTAATAATTGTGGTCATAATTCTGTGGATGTGACACCACGAAGTTTTCAGTTTCCAGCAGATGTCCAGCATATTACTCAAGTAGTGAACATGGACATGCTGAGAGTTGAAATTTCGTCCAGTATCTCTTCCACAACAGAATCTGGTAAGTCAGAAAAATGAGCTAGCATTTATAAATTACTGATTAACTTTTCTCTTTGTTTTAACTTTGCAATTGGTTTATTGTTAAGATGAGAGATAATGTGCACAGTTCTGTAGCCCAGTTGCTCATCCTTTATCTTGATAGCGATCAGAGGTCTGTGGACATTAACACATTTGGTTCAAGACTGGGCAATCAGGTGTCAGGTTTTAGCTCAGTGCTCCATAAAAGCAGCTCCCTTTGTTTTTATCACAGGTCTGCAATGATTTAAGATATAGGTGATTTGGTGCTTTATTCACCCTTTATTCTTGGGGCAGGATAGATAAGGTAGATGATCAGCTAGGGAATGCTGTCCTCCATTGCAGAAACAGTGAATCACAAGTAATACATAGAGGATGAAACAAAGAAATGATTGTAGTGCTTTATTTTCATAAATGTCTAGCCATGCCATGCATTTGAACTGGAAAGTATGTCAGTATAAAACTGCTGTAATGTGTTATGCTAATTTCAATTGAGATTAGCCTTAGACTTTCAGTTTATGAGGTGGGGGTTTGGCTACATTTAGTGCACTTATAATTGCACAAAACGTTTTGACATAACATTTTTACATCAACTTATACTTTTGTTACATAGAGATTAAAACAAAATTCTGATTGAGATATTAGCAAAAGCAGAATAAAAGAAAAAATACCGGACTTCTGTTGGTAATTAATTTAATGGAACGATAAGATTTAATTTCTGAGGATATGATTATACTTTTTCAGGAACCGACAAATCTTTTTTAATGGAAGTTGTAACTTTGCATTAGATCAAAGTGATAAGTATGCCGGCTATATATACTGGCTGAAGTGGCAAAAAAAACAACAAATGCATGTACTGTATACAAATTTTATGGACACTTCCGTCTATGGCAGTTTTGCACAGCACACAAAAAATGTTGTTTCACCAAAATGAACCTTAATAGCAAGATAACCAAAAAGTTAAAAATTCATAATCATTTAGTGAGATCGATTTTTGTAGTGGTAAATAGATTTATAGGACACGGGCAATATCCCTTGACCTGCATTTCCCCCCTAAACATCTGTACCTTCCTAGCAACTCACACATATCATTGGTAATTAGTGAGGCATTGATGTAAACCAGTAATGTTGATTTTGTAGTCCCAGTTCTGCATAATCTCATATATAATTTAAAATCTTGTAGCTGGGAAAACGCAAGTATGAGAAACAACAATATTTTGATATTTAGGTAATGGATGAATCTTTCACCATGAAACAACCCTTGAACAGGGGCTGTTCTGTATCTAAAATCTGCTTAATACACATAATGTCCCACTTGTGGTGGCTAGAACATCTACTTTGGTCTAGCCAAGTGTAATCAGAAATATTGTGCTTGTGCATGAATAAACTTTAGTATTCCGGTTTGTTATGAAAATGATTAAAGGTGCTTAAAAATAAGCAGATAAAAAACTGAAGATTTAAACAGCAATTAGGTTCACCAAATGCCAGGAATATATTCAGCAAATAGCAGCATAAGATGAAAACATCATTTTTATGTGCAGAGATTGAATTTGGGTTCATTTCATTGAAATGAATTTATATCAATGAAATATTTATTAAAATACAAAGTCTTTAATTTGAGTAATTTTTTGTAGGTGAGTTTGATGTTTAAACCACTGCCTCAAGGAAACCACACTAATGTGTTGAGCAAAAACTTGCTTTTTGAAGGACTTTTTTTTTTTTTTTTGCTAAAAGCTCTACCTCTGTTGATTGAATGATGCTGCTTTGAAATCCAAGTGCCCTTGGATCAGAATCCCATACCTAGAGACTGCAATTATCTTTTCTTATGACAAATATAAATGCACCAGTAACTCATTATAATTCGTTTCCCCTCCAATAGCATTTTTTCAGTCTTTTCATTTTTATTCATTTTGACAGCTGTCTCGTTCATGTTGATTTATCCAGTCATGCCATTAGAAATAAATTGCAGTCACACTGAGGGGATTGTGATGTAAATGAGCTCTTATAATTGGTCCCCATGTTATTAGCATAACAAGCCTAATAATGGTTAAAGAAGATTGATATTAAATCTGGTGTTCAGTGTAATAATATAGAGGCATTCACAAATTATTATTACAGTAGCTTATTTAGGATGAAAACAGCCTATCCAATTCAATTATTCACAAGTTTACTCTGGGAAAAGGTCCCCCTTTTCAGTGTTATTTAATTTCTCTACATGTGTCAGGTATGGTTTGTTGAGGCATTTCAGCTAATCTTTGTTGTTAGACCTCTGCAGTTTTATAATTACCATACCTTATTGTACTCATCTGCTATATAAGTTGTATTTTTTCTACATGAAAACAGCCAAATAAGGTTAGACACATATTTGTCTTGTTAAAGGGTACAATAAATATAAGATGATGTATGTTCATTATACAGTAAATATTATACTAACCCATACCACAGACATGAATAAAAAGTTGATCATGTCGGTTCATTACTTATCTTGGTGAGTTCTACAATTTAGATATGCAATTATATTTATCCTGAAGTTACTCTGAAGATGAGGCCATATTCAAATGAGACAAGACACTCTCATTTAAGGATACATCGTCTTCTTACTCTGAATTCTAATCAGTCATCTGACCTTAAAGTCCAGGCTCCAGGATTGTAAGTGCACCACATTATGTTTCACTCCCCTGCTCTCACAGATTAGGCATCTGAATGTACACTATAAGGGTAAATGTCAGAAGTGTTAAAACAATGAATGCAAAGTAATAAATGGACAGGCAGGGATTAAAAATCTGCAGACACATTGCTCATCAAGTTTTGAGATTTGTCCCTGTTGTTGCAAGTTCTCTTCAGTAAGCAATTTTTAAATATGTCTTACTCTTAAGAGACAAACAACAAACTAGAAATTACTGAAGGATTTATTACTTTATTCCTAAAAGTATAATTTTCATTAATGTTAGAATGTGCTTCTAAATGATTATGTAATATTTGTTTTCTTCTGTTGTCAAAATGTCAGTCACATGTGAACAGCCCCTTTCACAATGGATATGGAACATTATTAAAAATACTCTGTCCTTCAGATGTTAGTGGTGGGAGAAGAAAGGACCAACACCCATTATCTTCTTATGCCTCACAGAACAGAAAAACAGTCCAAGCTTAGCCAGTGTACGTGGGACAAGGAGCCATTTTGTGTCCCACATTGCTTTTGGATCAAAGGTACCGGGGCCTCCTCCAGCTACAGGAAGGAAGACCAGTGCATCCAGTTGTCCGGAGGTATGAACTGGCTTATAAACTGAACTGTACAAACATAACCTCAATAATTCTAACACACATAGGTATTTCAGAATAGTTTACCTCACAGCTATGTAAGATCCGTTTAGATAAATGTACAAACTGAAGATACTGCAGTACTAAAAATGACATTGCAGGTTCTTCCTGTTTTCACGTGGTTGAAATGAGCCCCAGTCCGATTGCCATGCATTCAAAAACCGTGAAACTTCTTAGAGGTTGTTACATACTGCTGTGACATAACCTCATTGTTAAAAAGGTGGGATTCCTGTGCACATCAAATTTTACAGTTCTACAGCTCCTGTTAAGATGTTTCAGCTTCACCTTGCAGGTCTGCGAGGAAGTTGTTAAATTTCTTTCAGCTCTACCTTTACCTTCTATGTCACACTTTCTCCTTGTACTGCTCAACAAACAGTAGCCATTCTTACATGGGTGGTTACATGGGTGGTTTAAGATGAATTTGAAGAGCTTACAGTTTTCTTCACAGGTCTTACAGGATTTGTGGTTATAGAGCAAGATGACACATTTTAAATGGTAGTTCTATCCATTCACTGATTTCACTTTCTGGGTTTAGGAAGAGTTTCCTCCGGGTACTCCGGTTTCCCCCCCACACTCCAAAGACATGCTGAGACTAATTGGAGCTGCTAAATTGCACATAGGTGTGCATGTGTGTGTAAATGGTGTGTGAGTGAATGGTGTGTGAGTGTGCCCTGTGATGGGCTGGCCCCCCGTCCAGGGTTGTTCCCTGCCTCATGCCCATTGCTTCCGGGATAGGCTCCGGACCCCCCGCGACCCAGTTGGGTAAGCGGGTTGGACAATGAATGGATGGATGGGTTTAGGAAGATTAGTGACCATAGATTTGTCAGGGTCAGTGCTAGTTTGTCCCTGCCTTATGTGTCTTGTCCCTTGTTGGCCAGCAGATGTTGTTGGTCACCCTGCTTCCCCCCTCTATCTTGTAGCCCTAGCCCCCATAGGGCTGCTGTTTAGCTCAGTGCGTTGAGTGAACTACTCTGAGCCTGATCCCCTCCAGTCAGAAGTTTGAGGCCTGGGGGCTGTTCCACGAAGCAGGATTTCACGCTTAGCCTAACTTGTCGGATTTAAGGTAGTCTGGGCTAAATGTAGGGGAATGAAAATAAAGTCCATTTAGCCCAGACTACCTTAAATCCAAGAAGTTATCTGGCTAAGCAAGAAATCCTCCTTCATGGAATACCCCCCTGGCCAGAGGCCAGTCTCACCTTTTGGTTAATATATATTGGTTTTATTTTTCTTAGTGTTTGTTATTGTTTTCTTCGTCTTTGCTTTGTGCTCCTGTTTTTGGTCTTTCTGAGCATGCCTGGGTTAACTGTGTTCTGCTACTTGTTCCTAGTTTTTTTTCTAGCGTAGTCAGTCCTTTGTGTTATGTTCCCTAGTTTCTACTGCTGTGTATTGGTAATTTGTTTTACCTGTTGCTTGTTGTCCTGCACCTTGGTTGATTGGATAATTTTTGTGATGGTCCACACCTACCATTTCTCTTTTTGTGCCTACGTAAGTGCCTGCTTTTGTTTTGTTCCTTGTTGGTGTTTTGTGGCTGTTTCCCTGTCTGGTTGATTTCCTATGTTGCTTTGCATTTGTTAGTTATATCTCTTGGATTATTATTCCTTGTTAGATTGTAGGTTTCCCTGTATTACTCCCTGCCTAGATTGCTGTTTTATTAGTTTTGTTTTGACCACTTGCAGTCCTGTGGGCAGTGGTACCCTAATGGTTAGGGAAGTGTGCTTGTAATCAAAAATTTGCTGGTTTGAATCTCTGACCAAAAAGGTACAGCCCCTAAGCACTGCTCCCCTGGTGCTGAATTAGCTGTTCCCTGTTATGTCACAATATCACACATGGGTTCAATGCAGACTAAGGCTACACGATTTTGAAAAACATTTGAATTGTAATTCTTTTGTTTAGAATTTATTCTAAACCTGATGTATTTTTGATGTTATTCTTTTGTTTATTAAATATAATTTTTTTTTGGACTCACTAAACTGCCAAAGGAAACAAAACAAAAAATGACTGTGCCAAATATATGATTGATCCAGGACCTACATATCAACTTCTAAACTTCTAACAACAGAAAAGAAACCCTCAATTGGCCATTCAGTTAGGGTAACCAAAACAGCCGTACCAAATGTTCCAGTACCTAAAGTGCCAGTGGAATACTTTTTGGTACTTCGGTACTTGGGGTGATGAGACTTGGGGTGATGAGACTCTTTGTGGAAAGTTGATGCAAATTGCCTGCCTCTGAAACGCAATCCAACAGTTGAAAACAACAATAAACAAGGTAGAAAGAATAAGAAAAATAATAATAATGGATGCATGGACAAATTAAGTGACCCAAGAGATAATGACAGAATAAAAAGAAATAAAGTATTTTGTATAATATACTAGGACAACACAGGAAAATGTACTGGAAAAATTACTGGAAAATGTACTGGAAAACAGCAAGGATGAAAATGATTATGATTGTCTCAGAGAAAGCATGCAGCACTCATGCAAAAGCAGGTGAACTTTAAAATGATTTTTAAACATATGCTAAATAATCTTGAAAAGGAATAATCATTAAAATTGCAAAACAATATTTTTTTTTCCTATGAAAAAGTACAAATATTTTAGCGGAACCTAAACTCCCTACACTACAATGTCCATTTACAGAACTGAACTAGCTGACTGGCGAAGTGAGAATTGCATGTGTATAACATGTGATGTTGGTATTAATATTGCACATTGACCAGCCCTATAATATACTACAGCCATTTTTTCAAACTTAGTTCAAACTCCCCTGCCTCACGCTGTGATGTCCTTCAGTGCTGGTGCCGTTTTTACGCCAGTGGAAAACCACCTTGAAGTACTGTAATTTTGGTACCTTCTTGAAGTATGGATGCGGTGGAAAAATGCCCTGTAGGGAGAATGCAGAATTAAGGAATGCTTGAGACTCTCTGGGTAAAAGTCGGAGTGCTTGTTTTGGTCCAGCTGATGTAATATAACGCAGAAGAACCGTTGTAATTTAGAAATGAGATCGCATAGAGGTGTGAGTCGAGATCGTGTTTTTTTTAGATTAATTGTGCAAGCCTAAGGAAGAGGGCACATTTTGTTGTTGTGCAGTGTGCACGGTGTGTTAACAATAACTAATCACTTCACCTACACCTTTGTTTCTCTGTTTTCTGTTCTGTTCTGCTAAATAAAACACAGTTTTTCTTTGGAGCCACTACTTGACTCATTCCTCCTTTGACATGCCTCGCTGTAACAAGATTAAAGACAAAGACTGTGTAGTACGTTAACTGCATGTAAAGCCAGCAACCCTGACCAGCGTAGTTAGAAGATTGATGCATATAAAGAAAATAATTTAAAGCACCATTCTGTTTATGTAACAGTCGTCAAAGGTGAACAATATTGATGTAAAATACAAATATGTTTCAATAAATGAAACTTGTGGTTTTCTTTATCATTCAAGTAATCTGATTGTACACTTGTGTCGAGTCTGCAAAACAGCACCTGTAAGACAAAACTCTCTGTTTAAATACCATTTCTACATCAACAGTCCATTATTAATAAACTTCTAAAAATTCTACAAATTAGTATTTTAAAATTTTATTAACAGATTCATTGCATAAGTACTAAGAATAATATTTAACTTAATAGGGGTGTGTTTCCCAAAAGCTTTGTAACACTAAGTATTTTGTTATCTTGTACTTACGATCATTTGTTAATTAGCAATTGTTTCTCTTCATAACTAAAATACTATGTAATCTTGTTTGTAAATTAATGAGTGATCTGACCCATTTCTTATTTTGTCCATTGTTTTTTTATTTGAACTTTTGAGTGCTATTCTGTTACAGAGATTGCCCGAAATAGATTATAAAAACATATTGATGCTCTTTGAACAAGGTACTGTATTAGTAGTAGTAGTAATAATAATACATCAAGGTCTGTAAAGTGCATAAAATTGTAACATAAGGCTCTTTGTTTTAACACGTGTATATAAATCTGAGTACATAAGAGAGGTGTGCACCTATTAGAACTGAATTGAGAATGGCTCTGAAATTCTAATTCAGTTCATGAAATTAGTTGAAAACAGGATGCAGATTTGCAATCGAAGGATTTAGGATTAAAACATAATGGAACTGAATGCATATAAAGTCATATGCATAGTATAAGTGCAACTGTTACAATACAGTTTAATATTTAAATATGAATTGTATATAAACATGTTGACATACATAGCATATGCTGTATATTATTCAGAATGAAAGAATGGAAAATGCAACATTTGTTATGTCACCTATAGAATAAAAAATGTAACCTGTAATTTTGTATACCACAATGGAAGCCCACATAATACAGTCACACAAGTCACCCTATCACAACCCAATCCATCTGACAACCCACAGACACTCACAAGTAAAGCTGCTGCTGAATCCTTAAAAATGTTAACAAGCATAAACAGTTTAATATGCAAAACAGTAAATATTAGCCCATAGAAAAATACTTTTTTTGACTGTTTTTGTTAAAATAGACTAAAACTGTTACACAGGTTTTCAATTAAAACCATGCAAATAAAAAGTACACTTCACTCACTAGTACATACATAAGGTCCATCTATATATCTACCATCTAGAAAGTAAATTTATTACATCTTATTTTCCAGGTTAAATGACATTTCTGCATTGTGTGATTGCATTGAATTTCTTTGAACTGAAATGGATCAAATTCTTCTGAATTTTGATTCATGAGTAGAGTAGGGCACAATTCATACATTTTCAATTTTGCACAACCCAGGTACACAATAAGCTAACCAGTGAAACTTGCTATGTATTCAAACACATATGTATTCAACTGGGAAAGTAAATGACCCCTTGCTTACCACCAGGAATGACAATGGCAGCTTTTCAGAAAATTGCACAACTCAGCTGGAGACAGTGTTTGAGACAGCGCCATCCAAGAAGCCGGGTTCCTGGTCTAAATGCTGTTTTGTGGCCAGACATGAACCCCTTGGAACATCCCATTAAAAAAAAATTAACAGAGAAACACAGGGTGGCCTGGGGTGCAATAATGAGCCTCCTTGGTGTGGTGCAGGATACATTAAAAAGCAGAACACACTGGGATTTTGCCCTCAGTTCCACTGAGCAGCTTCTGACAGCTCTGTTTCTAAGCCACCAGTGGATTCTTGTAGACTGTTGGTGATACACATGGGCTCAGCACGGCTGCTGTGTCCAAATCTGTGCACGCAATAACCACATTACTGTTGTGCCATGCGCACAACTCCATTTAATGTCCAGCAGGAGGGGGATGCCTTTCATGATACTAAAATTGGTTTTCATGCCATTGCAGATATACCTGAAATTTTAGGTGTAGTGGATGGAACCCTCAACCCTTTTCATGCTCCCAGCATCTTGAATCCCATCTGCACCTTTCCAAAACGGTTCTTGGCACCAGACGTAAATGTCCAGGTGATACACAATCATCCAAGACGTTTTACAGACATTGTGGCCAAGTGGTTTGGGAGTACACATGTTTCTTATATCTGGTCCAGCTTTACAGTCTGACCGATGGCAAAGGATGGTGTGTTAGCCTGTGGCTAATTATTAATTGACAACAGGTATAATCTTTGCGAATGGCTGCCGACTTGTTTGTTGTACCCCCAATCCGTGGCTTAGGAAACATGTAATACTGCACACTGAACAACACACTGCTGCAGATCGTGCTCTGGGCATATAGTAGATGCAATTCTGGTGCCTGCATAAATCCTCAGGGGGTCTAAGATTTTCCTCTGAGTGCTGCTGTGCTATTTTTGATGTGTGTGCTGTGCCGCACGCCACTGCAGTAATTATTTTATTAAAAATTATTTTTGCCCATGTCCTCAGTAAGGCTGCTTCCTTTTCAAATTGAAGCTCACCACTGTTCTTTTTTACACAAAAACAGCATCACATTTTGAGCCCAGTTGTATATTTTCGACTAATTTAGGTTAATTTTGTTTGGTCTTAATTAGTCGTGCTTTTGCATGTGTTCTTATTGTTTTTTTGTTTTTTTTTACCTTTTCTTATGTCTAATGTGACAATAATTTAACATATATTTCAGTGCTGAAATACATGAGATGCATGATGCTGCTATTGACAGTCTGCTTTTTTCACATGGAGGCTGGGGAGGAGCCGGCAAAGATCCGCTTTAAGTTTGTTCATTAGATCTGAAATGACGGAGGGTTTTGGGAAACACACACCTCACTCATTCTTTATATGTGTCATGCGTTATCTTGTTTGTTATTCACTATGATCAATTGTTCATTATTCACTGAGATCTGTTTCCTGATTTAGTATGTTTTATATAAAAAAAGCAAAATCTGCAGTGCACCCAGTTCTTTTGTGTTACTTATCCTGGTATAATGACTGGGTTTGTGTTTTACAGGCATGTAGCTCTGCAACTAGAACAGCCGTGGCTACAAAGATCAATGAAGACTGGCCAAAAAAACACACAGATCAGTGTGAACAGATTCTCAATTCCCCACAAGACTTCACATTGCAACAAAAATGTCCAGGCAAGGGTATGCATATTATATATTATATTTACACACACACACACACACACACACACAGGTTTGTAATTATATCTTTGCTATGGGGAAAACTCTGACCCCAACATGACGACCTTAACCCCTACCCAGCCCTAACCTCAACCATAAGTAAACAAACAAAATACAAGACTTTTGCAGACTTTTACAGTTAAAAATACAAGAATTTTCAGTTTTTTGATTGCATCCACAGGTCTTTGTGGGGACCTGAAAATGTCAAAATAACAGGTTTTTATTACATTCTGGGGAACATCTGGTTTCCGTAATGTAATATAAACATAATCCAAACACACACACACAGAGTATATCTAAAAGGTCTACACACCTCTGTTTTTGTAATGTAAATGAAACCAGTATAAAGTCCCATTACCAAGAACAGGGTGTCCCTTCAAAACTAATGGAAAATGAAAGCTGATCAGAGAGGCTACCAAGAGGCCCATAACCACACTGAAGGAGCTGCAGGATCTCGTAGCAAGTGCTGGTTATTCCCTGCATGTGACAACCATCTCCCATATTCCTCACGACGGGGCAGTGGAGAAGTATGGCGAAAATAATGCCATTTCTCATGAGAAAAAAAACACACCACCTATAATTTTCTATAACACACATCAAACCAGCTAAAACCATGTAGCAAAATCTGCTATGGTCTGATGAAACTAAGGTGGAACTTTTCGGCCATAATTACAAGAAAAACTTTTGGTGCAAAGCCAAAGCAACTCATCACCCAGACAGCAACCCCACCCACAGTGAAGGACGATGGTGGCAGCAACATGCTATGGGGCTGCTTCTCTTCAGGTGGGACTGGGGCTCTAGGCAAGACCAGAGGGAATCATATGCTGGCTCCAAATACCAGTCTACACTCAGCAACGCAAAAAGTTAAGCACCCAGAAGTAATGAGTAATGGACTAATTAGGATGTAATTTGGTACACGTGCAGACTAGCGATGGGTATGTAAATGAATCGATTTGCAAGGACCTGGCAGGTCTAGTCAGCAGACACAGGATGCCTCACAGGTGCATTAGACAGCATTACCAGCACTTGACGGAGTTTGATAGGGGTCGCATTGCATTGTGGGTTTGCATGAGGCCAGGTGGTTGTATCGTGCAGTTGCCCAGCATGTGGGGCATGCAGATGTCACAGTCGCCCCATGTTGGAACTAATGGGTACGTGAGGACAGCCACACACGTCGTGAAGGTTCCGGTCTCCCAAGACAGACAACCTGCATCTGCATCTGCATGTCTTACCCCTCCTGAGACAGCACCCTGGTACAGTCTTTCAACAAGACAACGCCCATCCACACACGTCTATGGACTGCCTGCGTCATGTTGAGGTCCTCCCGTGGCCAGCCAGGTCCCCTGATCTTTCCCCAATTGAACGTGTGGGATCAGCTCAGACATCAACTCAGACCCAGTGCCAATCTGCAGGATCTCGAGGGCCAGTTACAACAGCTGTGGGCCGACTTGCCACAGGAGAGGATACAACGGCTGTACGACTCCCTTCCTCACCGTATCATCACATGTATCCAGGCCCGGAGGGGGGATAGTGCCACACCCTACTGACATGGGGCCAGCAGTGTGCCCGTACTGCCAACTCTGTTGTCCATTTGATCTCATATTATGATTATTGTGATACAGTCACGTGACCTTTCACCACATGCAGATTCATTTCATTTTCACCACTCCGTCTGGGTGTATTTTGGCACCTAACCTGCCAGCACATGTTAGAAAGATGAAGAAGAAATTCACCTTCCAGCATGATAACATCCAAAAGCACACATCCAAGTCAATAAAAGGACTGGCTTAAGAAGAAGAATATTAAGGACCAGTCAGAGCCCAGACCTAAATCCGATTGAAGACCAGTGGAATGAATTGAAGAGGGCTGTCTACAGGAGATTTCCTTTGCAGTTTAATGGATCAGGAGCTTTTTTGAATGGAAGCGTAGAATAATATAGCCAATTGAAGATGTGCTAAGTTAATATACGTTTACTGAAATGCTGTATTACTAAAAGGTGCTTCAACAAAGAAATAGTTAAGGGATGTACACACTTATGCACCTAAGTTATTTTACGTTTGTAATTTTACCAGGGGTGTGTAGACTTTTTATAATCACTGTACAAGCACTCAGTGGCCAGTTTGCTGCTTTATCTCTCACAACAGCAGATAATTTGACTGCAACTTAATATATGTAGCATGCAGACAGGATCAATAGCTTTATTTGGAGGCTGGCTTGGGGTGACTATATTTATTTGAATAAGCATTAGAATGGTTAAAACAACAGATCTAAGTGATTTCTGATATATATACTTCCTAGGCACTTTATTAGGTATACCTGTTTAACTGCTTGTTGAAACAAATATCTAATCAGCCAGTCATACACTATGTCAGCAGCAAAATGTATAAAATCATGCAGATACAGATCAGGAGCTACAGTTCAGGTTAACATCAAACACCAGAATGGGGAAGAAAGGTGATTGTGGCATGGTTGTTGGTGCCAGACGGGCTCGTATGAGTATTTCAGAAACTGATGATCTGCTGGGACTTTCACACACAACCATCTCTAGGGTTTACAGAAAATAGGCTGAACAAAAAAACATCCAGTTAGCAGCAGTTCTCTGGGTGGAAATGCCATGTTGATGGCAGAGGACAAAGAAAAATGGCCAGGCTGGTTCAAACTGATAGAAAGGCAACAGCAACTCAAATAACCACTCGTTACAACCAAGGTATGCAGAAGAGCATCTCTGGATGCACAACACATTGAACCTTGCAGCAGATGGGCTTCAGCAGCAGAAGACCACACCAGGTGCCACTCCTGTCAGCTAAGAACAGGAAACTGAGGCTACAGTGGGCACAGGCTCACCAAAATTGGACAATAGAAGATGGAAAAACATTGCCTGGTCGGATAAGTCTCAATTTCTTCTGTGACATTCGCATTGTAGAGTCAGAATTTGTTGTAAGCAACATGAAAGCATAGATCCATTCTGTCTTGGATCCTTGTTCATCCTGGCAGTGGTGGCCTAATGGTTAGCACTTGTAATTGAAAGGTTGCTGGTTCAAATCCCCAACCAGCAAAGTACCACTGAGGTACCTTGAGCAAGGTACTGCTCCCCAGGTGCTAAATTAGCTGCACCCTGCTGTTTCATGATATGCCGTATGGGTTAAATGCAGAGGACACTTTTTGTTGTTGTGATATGGTGTCTCAACAATGACAACTAATCATTTTCCCCTTCTCCTTGTATTAATAATTCCGGCTGGTGGTGTAATGGTGTGGGGGATATTTTCTTGGCACAATTTGGGCCCCTTATGACCAATTGATCATCATATAAATGCCACAGCCTACCTTAGTATCGTTGCTGACCATGTCCATCCCTTTATGACCACAGTGTACCCAGTTCCTAATGGCTACTCCAGCAGGATAATGCAGAATGTCATAAAGGTCATATAATCTCAGGCTGGTTTCTTGAACATGAGTTCACTGTACTCAAATGGCCTCCGCAGTCATCAAATCTCAATCCGACATCACACCTATGGGATGTGGTGGAACAGGAGATTCACATCATGACATTTCAGCTGACAAATCATGTCAGCATGAACCAAAGTGTCTGAGGAATGTTTGAAGCGCTGTGTTGAATCTATGGGTGTAACCCAAGGTGTACCTAATACAGTCTAGATAGATAGATAGATAGATAGATAGATAGATAGATAGATAGATAGATAGATAGATAGATAGATAGATAGATAGATAGATAGATAGA